TGTATTTACCCCCAGAAAAGGGGACCTCTGGGGATATCTTTCCTTCTCAAACTTCCTTCCTTCCTCTCTGTTCGGCTCAGTTTGCTTGTCCTTACCAAACTGTCTCCTACTTGGATGTTCCTTAACCACTTCTCTGGATAAGTCATCATCAACCTTGGCATAATTCGATCCTTGCCATCAATTCTTCCAGGTCAGTAGCAGGTCTCCTCGTGAGCGATTGGTATAGAGGGTTCTATTTTGGCAAGCCGATTTTGAAGGATGCAATTACAATCTCTGGATTGCACCCTTCGACTTCATTCATGATTTTTCAATAGCGATGTACATACTCTCGCAAACTTTTGTTACCCTTCTTTTTCAGCGTTAGTAGAGCCCCAACATCCATTGGTTGTTTACTACTCGTGATGAATCAAGCTGTAAACTGCTCGGCTAACTGGGACCATCCGTTAATCGTTCCTTTTGGTAAGCTGTCAAACCACTTCATGGCAGACTCCCCTAGACTGCTAGGGAAGATAGTGCAGAGTAGTGGCTCGTTTCTTTGGTGGATGGTCATTAGTTGTCAAAAATGCCTGATATATGAGGCTGGGTCGGTCTTTCCGCCGTACAACTTGAAGTTCAGAATGACAAACTTACTCAGGATTCGTGCCTTTTCCACCCAGGCAGTGAATGGGAGTGACTCCAAACCGTTTTCGTACTCTCCTGTTGCTTTTCTGGCTAGGTCCCTTGCCGACCTCTGCTCTATTCTCTTCAAGCGAATGTTGAGTTCTTCGTTGATATATTGCTTCCACGTGTCCTTCTCCTGGATCAGAGGCTTCTGCTGATGGTAACCTTTCTCATCGGCAGTTTTAATCTTGCAAGGCTTCCTTCTCGGACTTTCATGTCGATCTTCTCTCACCCACTTTTTTCTTCTTGTCACCTCTTTCAACTTGGCTTTTAACTCTTCGTTTTCTTTGATGAGATTTTTCTCCCTAGCGTAGGACTTTTTGAATAGCTTGTCATAAGCATTAAGTCGATCCTGCAGGGACTGGACCAACTTTGCCAAGGAGTGGTTCTCCCCTTCAGCATGAAGGGATTTACCATGATCCTCGCTTTGCTGGTTCTGGTTTTTCGAGGGCTTGAAACTTGCAGAGGATATCTCATCACCTTCATGGGTCTTGGAGGGCTTCTAGCTGCATGCAACCTTGCGTCGTTGTCATAAGGAAGAGACGCAGGATCAGAGTTCCCTTAGGTAAAACTGTCTATGGGTGATCCAATTACGCTTCTGAGCCTTGACATCATAGCTTTTTGTTATGAAAGATGAAGATCTTTTCTACAGACGGCGCCAAAAATTTAGAGGCAAAAAATTTGTAATACCTCTAACAGTGAATTTGTGATGCGATTTCTGGAAAAGAATCCTGAGTTGTCTTCTAATCTTTTCCCTACAAAATGAACAAACTGTCAAAGATCGAAGTGTTTCGATCGAAGGCACTCCGATGCTTAAGTTAGTAATGGAACAAGAAGAATTGTGTGAAGACCAGGAAAGTTCAGCGTACCTTTTTTCTTGGCTCCTTTTGCTTTTTATAGGTGGTCATCCCCTTAAGATTTCCGTGATTCTTGATTCAAGATGGCACACCATCCTTAGATTTAGTCATTCAGTTTAGGAAGTTGCTGATATTTCTCCATTATTTTCTCCTGATATCTTCAATTTCTCTAATTCGTTTATCTGATTGCCTAAATTATAGGCAAATATTTATCTTTTTGTTTATCATTTGAAACAGCTCTGTCATATCGAACACCGAGCACACTTGACGTTTGCCGAACAGATTAAGGGGTTTGGTTTGGTACAAAATGATCTCTTCAATTGTCTTGCCAAACCCTTTAACGGACTCGACTTGGTACAAGCCGAGCTCTTTCTTTACTTAGCTGGACAAACTAATGAGTTCGGTCATCAAGAGAACCTAACTCGTTCTTTGTTTGTCAAATGAACTGCTTTGTTCGGCTCGGTCCTCAAGACTGGGTGAATATCCTTGTCACATGATTGGTCTTGTCAAGTTTACATGATCTTATTTAATGTTGTACCACGTGCCATCATGAGGGCTAACCCCTTCAATAATTTAATTGCTCCTTGAAACCTTATTCATGGGTCCCACAACCAGCGGTGGATTGATAATATTTGGGAAAAAAATTAAGAAAGTGACGGTGTGAGGATGTAGATGTCACTGAAATCATTGTAGGGTAATTTGGAAGCTGGTACAAAAATTTAGATTTATTTAAGCTAAACTACATTAAAGAAACTTATTTGACCATAAATGCATTTTTAAAAAAAAAGACTAAATTGGTATTTATTACTTCGTTACTCTCTCTCTTTTTCTCTCTATCTATTTCTCATAAAAAAAATTTAAATATGTAAAGATTTAATTTAATTTCTTATCTCTCTCCACCTATTTTTTCTCTCTCTCTCACTCCTTCTCCCTTTATTTCATTATTCTCTCCCTTTTCTCTCTCTCTTTATATCTACGTTACACAACACAATTACACTAATCGGTTACACCAATTAGTTATAAATATCCTATAATACACTAAACAGTTATTCATGTGTTCTAATAAACCAAATAATTATACTAAACAATTATATGAAATTACAACATCAACTCAACTTGTCATTTAGCTATTTATATAAATCAAAGAGTTACATTATTTAGTATCACGACATTGTTATATCAATTATATACGTCAAATTGAGTTTATCATTATACTAAATTTGGTAAATATGATTGGTATAACGATGTCGCGATACTAAATAGTGCAACTATTTAGTTTATGTAAATAACGAAATGACAAATCTAGTTGGTGTTATAAATATGTGTAATTGTTTGGTGTGACTGTTTAGTTTATTAGAATGCATGAATAACTGTTTTTGTGTATTATAAGACAATTATAACTAATTGGTGTAACTGATTAGTATAATTATGTTGTTATAATGTTGAGAGAGAGAAAAAAAAAATGAGAGAGAGATAAAAAAAATAAATCAAATCTTTACATATTTAAAAAAAAATAAATTATCAATGTTAGATATTGAGAGAAAATAAGGGAGAGATGGGAAAAGTAATGGGGAAAGAGAGATAGATGGAGAAAAAATAGGGGAGAGATAGTGAGAGAATCTAATGAAATATTTATATATTTGATTAGATATATAACTACCAATCAATAATGTATAATTTAATGGAGGGTATTTAGGTAAAATAATTTTGATTTTATTTAAATTTTGTATTTAAACACAATATATTTTATTGAAATTGAACTTAATAAAATAAATAATTTATCTATACACTTTTTCTCCAATAAATTTAAAAAATTGTGTGCACAGCCAAAAAAATCCATCATTGTAAATAGGACAGGGAGTGACTTATTGCTCAGAAGCACCAACAAATGTTGGGTCCAGTAGAGGCAATAATGGGCCCATTATTTCAAATCCAATTTCTTGGTGGGCACAAATTGATTGATTCTGATCTTTGGTGCATTTGAAATCACTTATTTCAACCGCTACAGATGAAATAAGCAAAAGCCATTGCTGGCAGATTCAATAATTGTAGAGCCATATAGGATGATTTTTCAAAGCATTTTGACCAGTTTCACACTTTGGAACAGCACCCACTTGTAGGCCAAAAGGAAAAAAATATAACCTCAACGGGTATCTCAAGTAAGAATCCAGATGGATTGTAAATTTAGTCGTTCTAAATTTGAATATTGACAATTTTTTTAGGTCAGGTCATAAAAGATTTATTCCTCATAAATATCCTAATCCCGACATAGATGGTCTGTCTTTAACCAGACCAGAGAGGAGATTAATCGAAATACACGTAAGCTGACCAAAACACCCCTGTCCATTGAATAAAAAAAAATGTAAATATGGTATAATATTTGGCATTCCAAATTCAAAACACTATAAATGTTAAACCACACCGGCCTAGTTGACCATCCTAAATTAACTTCTAAGCCAAAAGATCCAAAGGTCAATTATTTTATGGACACATAAAAATTAATCTTTCTTAGGGGTTATATACTCCGTCTCTTGCGGGTTTTCTCTCACTTTGGATGTTTGTTGTGATCCTAATTCATTGCAACTAGATCATAGCTCAAAACATGCCAATTTCGATATAACTTGGTTGAGTTTGTATCTAAGAATCTTACAATTTAACACTGTTTCATGTTTCATGTAAACCGCAAGCTTCACTTGACTCGAATGCATTCTTTAAGACGTTTTCGAGTCAATCCAACTTGCTGAAATTATCATCACGACATCAATTGATACTGCTATACAATATCGCCATATAACTCAAAAATCTCTTATCATGTTAAACTTCTTATTATTTTTACATGCCGCTCAATTCCTTTTCGCAACATCATGATCAATGCATCCTATGCCCTTTACCGTTACATAAAACAAAAACACAAAGAAGGTTGGCAAAACAATTTGCAGAAGATTATGGAATAAACTTTGTATTTTAAAATGAGGTTTTCTTGTCATTAATTGGACAAGTAGTTTTGCTTATTATAAGTGGGCAAGTTCGATGACCTTATAAGAAGGGAATTCAGATCAAACTACGTCGTTTTCACAAAATACCACTTTATTTAAATAGTCCTGTCTGCTTTCCGAAAAAGCATTTAAAAAAAAAAAAGAAGAAGCCGCGTCCGACCAAGAGAAAAATAATAATTTAAAGGGACGCGGTTTTGTTCATGGAGTACTAGGTAATTTATTAGATAGATTATATTAACGATTTGTCCGTTAAACAAGTGAAACGGACCTTGTACCTTCTCCTATGTATGAAATCTCTTTTGCCAATTGAGGAAAAAAATAATATTATTTAGATTCAATGTGTTCACCCAATTTAATGACCCGATTCATCACTACTATCGAATTGCTAATGCATTTCAAATAATATTGTGGTTAATTGTCAACAAATTAAATTATCAAATTATGTCTAAATAGAATTCTTATGAAAATAAAACTCCAAAATATTTGCTCGTTCTATTATTCATCTCTCTTTACAATTTATACAGGCTTAAAAAATTAATTTAAAAATTTGACTTGATGATATAACTGTTATATTTGTTATTGATTTAACTTATGAGTCTCAGTATTAATTGAGACACACTACTTATTTAATGATAGTGATTCATCAAATTAAATTTTTAAATCAATTTGATATTTTCCTTTCACACCTACAGATTGAAGAAAAACCAAAAAAAGTTACAAAACTTTTAACTCAAAAGCTCCATTCTGCAACAAGGGCAATGCGCATTATTCTCCAGCCATGGCTCCAAACACCTTGAATGGAACCTATGAGCGCAAGGCAGGTGCACCAGGGTCTCACCCACCTTGAACTGGTCCAAGCACACGGCACACTCCTCTGGCTCCAGGCCTTTCCCTCCTAACTTTGCCCAACTTAACCTCTTTAACCCACTTTTCTTCAACCCAAACACCTCTGTCTGCAAATCCCTAAGCACCATAGATCTGCCATCTATACCCTTCAATTTTTCTTGGGTGGTGCTAGTCTTAGTCCTGTTCTCTATTTCCTTACCCCTCAATCTTTCTTGGTTGCTAGGGCTATTCCTGCCCCCCATGATCCTTAATCTTTCTTGGCACCTGAATTCAATCATGGAAAATGAGAAGCAATAAATAAGTTGATAAAAATGAGACATCTAGGTGTTCATTAATCAAGTTCTTTATCATATAATCAAGAGTGACCAACATGTACCATTTGGGTAGTTTAATAAATTTTATTTTTTTGAAAAAGAAAAGATATGCAACGTAGTTCAAAACGCAGACGATAATGCTACCATAAACAGTTGACAATACCTTTTGGTTTCTGATTTCCGCTGTGCTCTTAGCCTCTCATCTAACCTCTCTTTGGCTTCTCTTGCCACTTTACCTAGGTTCTCATTCTCATATTCCTGATTCACCATGCTTCTTTGCTGTTTTTAAGACCCAAACAGATTAGCATCACACCCCACAAAATATAGTCCAAGTCTCATACACAGACATATATAAACATGTATTAACGCACATACATGTATGTATAGAGAGTGAGAGAGAGAGACAGAGTGGTTTGAAATGGTACCATGGAAGAAGAAGAAGAGGTGATGAGCTGGGATTCATGGCTGCTTGTATACAAGCAAAAAGACGAGCGCCTTGTAAACCCAGAACCAGAGGCACTGGGTGAATCTGCCCCCCCAACTGTATAATGAATCCGTCTTCTTCGAGCACATTCAACACCGGGAAGCGTGCCGGTCATTTTAAAAACTCCAAAAAGGAAAGGACAAGAACAAAATCACTTGCTATGAATCTTCCCAAGGTTTTTGACAGTTATAAATTTGTACGAACATACAGCTCCTATATATAATCAACCGTTATAATTCTTGACTTCCTCTTGTAGGCCTGCCTGAGATAAAGAAAGAAACAATATTAAAGAACAGAAGAGTACCCATATGGACCAGCAACGGGAAGAATAAAGTTGGTTCACAGAAGTTTCATGGAAAACTCACAGAAGTTTCATGGAGCATTTGAATCATTTAAAAAATTGAGAGAAAAAAACTCACTGGGAAGTTTCATGGAAGCTTGTATCTTATAAAATATTGAGAGAAAAGAGGTATGCACCTATCGGAGGTATTGGCAGACAAAGAGGGACCCATATAACCATGTATGATTGCAAATACGCCTTTCTTCCATCATCTTCACCATCCCATCAATCCAACATTTTTTTTAAGAATTTAATAATATGATTTCAATATAATTATTAATTTAATTATGAGTTCTAATATTAAATGAAGCTCACAATTAATTCAATAATTGTACATTATTATATTTCTAAATAAAGTCTCCAAATAAGATTCAAATAACATTTTCCTTATCATAAATGTCACTTTCTCAAAAACAAATTTCACTTTAACTGTGATATTACATCAGTATTAATGATATGATATCATCAATTAATAATATGTAAAAACCAATGTTATTAGATTTAATTTATTTACCTAATTTATTGACCTCATAAAATATTGATTGTGGGATTCATCAAACATTAAAATTTTGTGTTTATTCAATAATTTTATTAAAGTTATATCATTATATCAATAAATTATGTCAAATTTTTTTATTCTAATAAGATTACGCAATAGAACATGTAAATAAATAAAAAATAAACCCACGTAAACTAATAACTATATATCCATGTAAGTTAAAAATTATTAATTCTTCTTCTATGTAAGCGGATAACTATTTAAATAGAGTTCACTTTGATTATTTAAAATTTTATTATTAGTCGATTATATCATATCATCATTCAATAATGACATGATATCATTGCAGAGAGTATTCTTTTTGAAGTAAAATATTAGATGAGAATACGATACAAAAGAAATTAAATTTGGATTAAATTTCATTCCCACCCCATGAATATAAGGTAAATTTTACTGGCATTTCACAAACTACCCCTACCATATATAATGTTACTGTAAGCAACAAAAATTGTAATGTGTTGACTTATAGTCTTGTGAGTTACCAATTTTACCCCTAAACATATAACTCTTACTACTTAAAGCAATAGACAGTAGCCCACATTAATTTGTAATTGAATTAAAATGAATGTTAATTTGATGAAATTTAATATTAATTTAATGTTAATTTTAAAAATAATATTAATCTGATAAAATTAAATATTAAATTCATAATTGAATGTTAATTTGATGCAATTAAAAGTAAATTTTGTGTTAAATTAAAGAAATGATATTAATTTAGTAAAATTAATTGTTCAATTCATGAAATTAAATATTAATTTTAAAAAATTAAATGACAATTTAGTATTGATTGATGCAAATGAAGGTTAATTTGGGATTAAATTAAGGAAATGATGCTAATTTAATAAATTGAAAGTTAATGTGTTAGAATTAAAGGTTAATTTGGTGTTAATTTGATAGAATTGATTATCTATTTTAAGAGATTGAATGTTAACTTGATGAAATAAAATGGTAATTTGATAAAATTTAAGATCAATTTCATGTTAATTTTGTGAAATTGATAAAATTGAATGTTAAATTGATAACTAATTTAGTATTAATTTGATGAAGTTTAACGGAGATTTAATAAAGTTGAATGCCAATTTGCTATTAATATTTAATTAATAATTTGGTACTTGTTTAATAAAATTGAATATTAATTGGATGAATTGAAACTAATTTGATGAATGTGAATATTAATTTCAAAAAATATATGGTTAACTTGGTGCTTATTTGATGGAATTGTGGTGGTGGCCAATAACTTTATTGTTGTGGTGTGCTCATAGTTGGTAATGGAGGCGGGCATAACTAAAGGAAAGAGAGAGGGAGGGGAGAGATAAAATAGGGGTGGTGAGTTGCTGGTGTGGGGAATTGGGTAAGCTTTAGTAATTCGCGCTCGCGCGCACACACACATATATAATATAAGTAAAGGTTAAAAATGTAAAACGATAAGATCAGGGTAATTTCATAAAACGCCACTTTCGTCCATTTACCATAACTTAGTTCCCCGACAATTATTGATAAAGGGCGTCAATGATATTTAAAAAAATGCACGGGGTGTTTATAAAATTACGCTTATATATAAGCAGTGTTATTAAAATTTGCCCTATTATAAAAGTTATTATTATTAACCATGAAGTTATACTTTTTAATAGATAAAATATTAGTATTGAAAATAAAATATAGGTTTTAGGTCCCATAATTTTAGGTATATTACTAGTTCACAAAAAATTTAAATCTATTAAATTTTAAGACCCTAAAAAATGAAAATTTGTGAGGAGATACCTTTTACACTATTTTATTGTGAGAAAATATATTGACTAAAATCTTTTGTAAATAAATGCACTTGACTTGAAATGTATTGTATTTAAGTACAAATTGACAATTTTTTAAAATTTTCCTTTATTAAAATTCTCATTTCCATATTTATTGGGCTATTTAGATTGACAGTCCGATTTTTTATGGGATTTAATTTATTATATTAAGAGTTTCTAATTTTAATGAGATAGTAAATTAAAATTTTAAACTACATCTTCGTCTTCATTTTTCATCTGGCAAAAATATTATCATATTGATTTATTGTCTGATCTTTTTCTTTACCAATCAGTAAATTGAATTAAGATATTGTTACAAACATTGTTCAGGAACATCTGCAACGGATCGTTAACATTAGACATCAAATCACATCGGATTTGGGTTCATATTATCATTTATAATGCAATTCCATGTTGAAATTTATTTTTTTATATTATATTTTAATGTTAAACGACACTAGTTGTTTTCAAATCTTGCAACAATGTCACTTTACAATATACATTGTGATGTAACACTATCATTCATTATAAGTAATATATATATATATATGTTACATTTGTGATATCATATTGTGTAATACATACCATTTAGATTGGGTATAAATCAGTGAATATAATTTTACATTTTTTTGTTAGTGATTAAAATATTAATGAAGGTGTTACACTATCATATATCACTCTAATATCATATTATCAACAAGTTAAATTAGAATAGAAGAAAGATTTGTCATTAATGGTGCTTCAACATCTATTATGTCACTTCACCGTTGAACGATTCAACTTCTTCAAAATTTTTGGATGCTTGTGTTTGTTTTTTTTTTGATTGAAAATTGAAAATAAATTTTTTTCTTTTTTTTTTTATAAATTTGAATGCCCATGTTTTGAGGGATCAATTAACGAATTTAATGGGATTGTTGCATTAACTTCTAGTGGTTTCCTTACCCACTTTTTGTGTCAAGTAATTATTACGTTGTAGACATTTTTATCATTTAAAAAAACACTTTTATATAAAATATTTTATATTGAGTATTTTTTTACAATTAAGTGGTAAATTTAGTATCACCTTACAAAAAAAAAGTCCCAAAATATTAAGTCCAATCAAAAATTTTATTGAAATAATTTGGACCAATGATCCAAGCCATAAAAAAAGTAAAAAATTGAAATAAAAGTTAAAATTAAATTCTCTCTCTCCCCGATAAAAAGTAAAAACAAAAGTTAAAATCTCTCTCTCGGCAATACTAGTACATCTTTCCTTCTTCTGTCTCTCTCACATACAAAATTAAAATTATATTAATCTTTTTTTTAAAATAATACTAAAAAAATTCTCAATTAGTGTTTCTACTTAAAACCTCAAATGGCTATGCGCCGCACTTAATTTTGTGGTTAGCGTTAATAACGTAATCAATCAAGAAATATTATAAGTGATTATGTACAATGTCAATCAATTGTAACTTAAGCTTTAGGAAACATAAAAAATATTTACGATGTTTAGAATATTTTGTGATCCCTCGCAACGTCTTACTTTTGACTTACACTTTAAAAGATTGTGACGTAATTTTATGAACAACACCTACTACTCCGATATGGTAGTCGTTATCGAGTATAATAGTAGAGTTGAATTAAGGAAGGAAGGGAGAAGGATAACGGTAGGAAGGCCACAAGAAGCTTCACGGAAACTAACTACATGGCTGCACAAATTAAACAATGGGTAAGACCGGACCGGACTACCCGCATGCATACAAGGTAAGTCACGTGACTAACCATGCATGTGTGTCTTTGTCAAATGCAAATGGATGTTAGTAGTTAGCCATATGAACGGATTTGATTTGGGTCCATCTTAATTCAAATTCGATTAAAAAATTTATTACCAAATTCAATCTGTTTATCAGACGGATAAAAAAATATTAATTCATATCTGAATCCATTTATAATCGGACCTCCGTTCTGATTACCCAATCCGATTTATAATGGTATTCCACCAAAATTTTAACAAATAATATTTTTTTAGATCAAATACAAATAATCAATTATATACCCAATTAGTCAAGGAAGTTTTTCTGATAGTATGCCGCTAGAAATCTCTGGTACTTTCAACTTTATGATTGTATTTCAGGTTAATTACAACATTCTTATGCACTCATTTCACATGTTAGGCGTGTTTATGTAATAATATATATATACACGTATTAACCAAATGAAATTTCTATCGAATTAAATTTGTATATATCCATACCCACATTCAATTTAAGACATTTAAATGGATTCGGAACGGATTTAGATAAATGAATGAAAAAACTATTGGTTCATATTAGATTAAATAAATTCGAATTCATACTGAAATGCGGTTCATTAAAAGGCCTAGATGTTAGTCACACATATTGTGCTTGTGTATTTATAAGGGCATCTCCAATGTTGATCCAAACTCAAACTTAAATTTGAGTAAAAAACTTGATTTGGTACAAGACATTCCAATGAACAAACTTAAATTTAAAGTGAGGCAAATTCAAATTTAAAGAAAAATGAAATATGGTTGTTGGATCTTTTAAAAGAGTAAAATCTAGCAATTAAGGATTTGAGTAAATATTTGAGTCTGTCTTGATTTAAGTAAAAAATTTGAATCTCTCTTTATTTGATATAGAGGTTTAAGTTAAAGGTTAGAGTTTGTTTTTAATATGTTTTTAGTCAAACTTAAATTTGAATAAGAGTTTAAATAAAGAGTGGAGATGGCCTAAGGTAACCCACACAAATACAAGTCTTCCTGAAAA